GATGTTCCCAAAGGTAAAGGACGAAGGCTGGATGCTCTCACTTCCATAGGATCACAGATTCCTAAAGGCCTTGGAATAAGCGAATATATCTTTAGAGTCTATAGACTACTGAGTCTCTATAGACATATCTCTATAGACTTTTAAAAGAAATAATATAGATTGAATCCATATCTATATAAAACAAAGAAAGAAAGAGAATTGGCAATTTACTTGATACCTCACTTCCTGTTCCAAGTTCAAGGACTGCTCATGGTTGGCCTTCTACTTTTGCATTCTTGATTTTTTCCCTTTTCACACATATGGTTTCCTGAATTCCCAAAACTTTTTTATTTTATTTTTTTTGGCAGACCTAACGACGGCTGGTCTACAGGGCCAGGGCCACATCTAACATGAAGATGATGATGAATTTCTGAGAAACCACGGGAACATCAGAATTTCACGTTCTGGTCCTCTGTTCTCTTTTTTTCGTCTTTTGACTTCACGCGGCAGGATCTCGTTTTTCTTGTTGGTTCTGAAATGGATTTTGGGATGGCCACCCCACTGAGCCAATAGGAGGAGGCACTATTGCCCATTTCCCGTTGCCAAATGCATTTCAAAAGACCTAATGCAGAGAACAATTTTAAAATGAAACGCAAGTTGCCATTCCGAGTGACTGGCAGACGGGCAGTCTTAGAAAAAATGATAGAATGTATTCGACTAGACAGGAGGGAGTCGGTTGAAGGTCGATGGCTTGGATTGCATAAGGAGATTGTTAGAGTTTTGGTTTCAATATGAAATCCTTCAAAAGAAACCTCCTTTTTTGTGGTTTCGAAAGCTTCCTGAAAATTGTTTTTCATCATTAACATAATAGCTTGGTATCTTGGAAACTTGACCATAAACATCTTTGATGTGGCTAAAAAGATAAAAAGCCATATCTCATTCTTTATTCATTTACCACGCCCATTGCCACACACTATGGCCGGAGAGTTGCGTTTGTTTTTGCGCCTAACCGAAAAGCATAGAAAAATCTCAGCGATTTGGTCATGAAGGTCGCCTTATTAACACATAAACCATAAAAGCCAAAAACCGTAGGCACATGTTTGGCCAAAACAAGAAGAAGAACTGAGAAGAAAACGGCCAAACAGACAACCAAACAAAAACAACCGCAACAGCGGCAAAATCTTCATGGCTTGCCTGCTTAGAATTGCCCACATGTGTGTCACGTCACGGCAGACGACAATGCGCCGCAACAGATACATAGATACACTATAGCTGAGATACAGATACTTTTTGCATGTGCTCGCACACACAAGCATGTGTAGAACACACACAGCCAGGCTATACAGGCCAGACCCATGGAACTGGGCTTGTTTTCGCCATATGTGATGGGGAAAAAAACAAATGTTTAGGCGGACTCTGTCATGAAAATCTTTGCTCAACAGAATTTTGAATAGTCGTCAATGGAAGTTGGTGCGGTTCGGGTTGATCTCAGCCAAAGTGTTTTTTTGGCCAATAAAATACTTTAACGAAACACGATTATAAAATAGCCTTCTTTTTAAAGATTTCTGTGTGAAATTTTCATTTCAAAAAGGAGCTCTGTTTATCTGAAACAGACATGATTTTCTCTACGGATCTGTATTGGGTAAGCAAATACGTTGAAAAGCAACTTTCAGTTTTAGTTGACTTTCAATTAAAGCGGAGCAAATATTTGAGCATTTGAACATTGAATTTTTCCCATTTTCCCAGTTTTTTTGTTGCCTTTTTCAATTGTTTCAACATGACTTGTTGGCAAATTGAATTTCATTTTCATTTGCGGATTATATTTGACTTTTGTTCAACGCTCACCAAACAAAGCCATCTTTTCTCTGCCTTTTGATGTTAACTCATCCAACCCGAGTCATAAATACTTTCTGTGCTCTCAACTGGCAAAAGTGAAAAAAATTGGGAATTTATTAAATGAAAAGCAACTCCTGGGCTACCTTTGCCCTGAAAGTCTCCTACATTTCCAGCTGTTGCACAAATTTTCACTTTGTGTGTTCTTTTCACTGAACCCGCCAAGCCTACGCCAAGTAGTTTGTGTCTGTGTACGGTGCTTTCATAATTAAATTAAAAAAGTTTTGTTATAAAAATCATTGACTCAAGAGGTCGCTGTCCAAAATAATTGCCTGAATAGGAATTATTAATGATTTTGTAGCTAATATTGTGGAGGAAGAAAAACGATGTTTTTGTTTTTATGTTCGGTGTATAAAGTCTTGTTCCTTTCACCACGCAAATTATGACAACATCGATTATAAAGCCCTTCGGAAATTAAACATAGAAATCATTTTTAATTTTCATCACGTTCTGGCTATGGAAATTACATTCCCAAAACGTAGTCGTAACATTTTCAGGGCCCCATGGGCAGGTTTTTTTGGGGCCAGCGGAAATAAGGCATATAATTATGGAATTTATATATATAAAAGAACAGATATGTTTCTTAGAAATTTTCCACATTTTATGACAAATATGTGTGAGATTTTGCATTGGTGTACTAGAAGGGAAATGGCAATAAATCACTCAACTTTGATGGCTATTAATAGGTGGCCCATAAATTGGGAACAACTTGCAGATGATTCTGCTGATGACGATGACACATTTGGGTTGGGTGAGCGGAAATCAAAAGTCAACTGAATATTTAACAATTCATAAGTGTTTTGAGGAGGCAGTTGAAGGCAATTCTGTGTTGGCGGTGGATGATACCAAAAAAACTATGAACTGGGTGTGAGTCCCATCATAACTATGTTTTGTGGCGGAGATTGTCAGTTTTCAGCACTCGGCCAGTGCAAGTGCAATTAAAAGCTGCCTTATGAGGGGCGCCAGCCAGGCCAGACTTGGCCAGGTAATTATGTAAGCCCAGTTGAATGCAATCAAAAAGAAATACCAGAAATTCATTTTTTTGCCACTGTCTGCCAACTTTGGCGGCAACAAACAGTAAAACCCGCAGCATAAATAATCAACTCTGAGCTATGGAGAAGCTCTGCACTTTTCGGAGGAGAGGAATTTCTGCAATTGCAAAAGTTTTCACATACTCGCAAAAAAATGACATGAAATGCAATGAAAATGAGGGCATTAAGACATTGAAGGCAAGTGGATTATATAACCCTGGGCTTACTTAAAAAAATAATAAAATTTTCCTCCACTAATTAAAGAGGAAGTCTCAAAGCTTTTTCTTCTCGTTTGACGTAGAACTCCCTCTTATCTCGGGTCTTTGTTTTTTGTCTTGTGAGTGCACCTTGACTGGCTAATTAAAGAACTTTTATTTATTTAAATTAATGCCTGAACAATGATAAGCTGTGATAATTTATCTTGAATAGAATGCAACGCAAATAGGTAGCCAGGGAAGAGATAAAATACAAAGCAAACTTAAGTACCTCAAAGATAAAGCAATTTTTCAGGAATTTCAAAATACTTTAGACATCGATTTGGCCCACAATTTTATTAGACCAAGTCAGAAACTTTAAATGAAAATATATCTCTCAGCTAAGAGCCGAGTTGAGAATTTTCCGCCCACAGCTCTACTGAAAAAAACAACACATTTCGAGCCCCAATTCCGAAGGGGCCAAAAGCAAACTCATTTTCCTCATTAACTGCAATGGCTGCAGCACGTTTCGTCCTCTCTCTTTTTGGCCACCTCTACCTCACCCTTTCTTACGCATTCCAGACCCGGAACAATAGTTTTTAATGCGCCAAATTAAGTTTGAGTTGATTTTTTTCAAGTTGAATTCTTTCGACCACCACCCTTTTGCTGGGAAGTATCCGAACCAAACTCTTTCTTTCTGCCTTGTTTTCAGTCCCCTCTTGACCATATTGAGCTTGAAGTTGGCTTTTGTCTGCTCGCAGCTCGTGACTAACATTAATTTGACCAGAACTGGCTAAGAACTTCATTCCATTTATAGGATAGATGGCTCACAGCAGATAAAACAAGAAAAGTATCTTTAATTTCAGCGGCTAAAGATTTATTGCCTCGTTTCGGGCATTTGCCAGATTTTGGCCGAAATTGTTTCTGCTACTTGGGAGCTACTTCGGCTGGCTCTCCGTCTCAATTATAATTCGATTTTCGTTTCACGCTTTTGTCAAATCGCAAATAAAACGACCCGTTAGCATTTTGATAGATTTTTTGGCGTTTATTGTTTTGTTTTGACTTTTCGGATACTTTTTGCCTCAAAGGCATTCGGGCATCTCATTAGTTTGTTGAGCTTCGATTCGTCTCAGTTTGGTCGGGCTAATAATAAATTTTAATGCTGGCTTGGTGATGAAAAAGCCACTGGTTTACCATTTCGAGTCTATGAATAAAGTTCAAATTGAGTTATTAAATCGAATTGGCAAACCTAAGTTGGCAAATCAGTTTTGTGAGGCAAGTATTTTTGAACCTGTGACCCTTTCGCCTATCGTTTATTTTTATAGTATTAAAATAAATGTCTTTTTAAACTTAAACTGTCAGATACATCGATCGGTGATCAATCTTTGCTGAAAGATATTCACCTAAAGATACAGATACATGATAATTACGTGGGATAAGCCAGGACACGGCCGTGTAACATTTGTTAATGTAAAATATTATAACACTATGGTTGATAATAAATTGCCTTAATGCTCATAAAGCCAAAACAACAAACCGCACAACAACAAACACAATTTATGGCAGCAGAGTAATGGTTAAGTCGGGAGGAGGTTCTTGGGGTTTGGGGGCCAGAGGGTGCTGGGGTTGAAAAGTGGCGCAAGTGGCAGCGTTTTTAAAGCAACATTAATCATGAGCTCACGAGAGTGCCTCGCTTTCTCCCTCCTGGTCTAGTGTATGTGTGTGTGTGGGAAATTGGCCTTTTTCCATGCCGGCTTTTTAATAATTTATAAAAGAATTTACGAGCAAAACAGCTGAGGCATAGAAATGCGTTAACTACACACTCACACAAATATTCACCATAATTAAATTAAAAGAATGCACAATCAGCAACAATTTTCACCGTTTTACTCGCATTTTGCAGCAATCCTTGCTGGCAGGACGCATTCCGGTGGCCTCCATGACAGGACCCATTAAACGTGGACTGCTCTGGCAGCAAAGGGATCGCCTCTTCTCGCGCTGGAAGGAACGGTGAGTACACACGAAAAATATTATTAGTAGATATTTAATTTAATTGTTAATTTAAGATATTTAATATTTAAAATTGGCTTCAAAAAAGTCATGTTTTTTTAAAGAAATATTAAAGTTAGTATCGTTAGACGATTTATTTGAATGTCCTGTGCATTCGAGTGGTTCTGCATAATGTTTAAGCGATTTTAAATATACCTCCACCGCAATCTGCATTGGCCAGGACCACAGGACCAGACATACGGAGGGGGGACTACCCCAACCGGGCCGGAAAATATGCAAAAATATTTCACAACCTCCGAGGGTTGTTAATTGCAAAAAAGAGCATAATTGACAGTGGCTGCATGCTGGCTCGTCCTTTACCAGATAATGCTAATAGGATACCAGGGGAATGGGCGAAATCGGGTACAACCGGATGACAGCTCTTTTGTTTTTGTTTCCCTCGGCTGAATTTAATTGAAATTTAATTATGTTGCAATGCAAGTTGATGTTTTTGTTTGATTTTCGGCTGTTGGCCTTTGAACCGATAATTACGCTTATCGCTTATCATTATTTATCGGTTCAATTATAATTGACATTTAATGATCAACTAAGCCGGTAATTTTAAAGGTCAATATTTGATTTTAAATATTAATGCTTTTAGCAATCAGGATTTATTTGTTTGCCATTTTAATTAGATTTATTTTTGTGCAAACTATAATTGCAAAATTTAGAACTAATTTTAAAATAAATAAAAAAAAGAGTCATAACTGACTAAGTCTGCTCATCTTTGGCTTTGATCTCGGCGCCCATTACCTGGATTGCATGTCTCTACCATTTACCTAGCCTGACTAATAACTGACTCGATTATTATCCGCAACCAGACAATGGTTCAAGGGAAACCCCTTGCCAAGCCACCCACCGTAGCGGACCGAGAAGCCCACAACCGGTTACCCATTCCTCAAAGCCAAACAATTTTCTTTGCTCAATTTTCTTGACCACGTTAATCAGCCAAACAAAATGAGAACTTCCACCCAGGGAAGTCGGCTATTAGTCAATTTCAAAATCCAACCAAAGCTGTGGAATTTGCTTCTCATGAATGATGAATAAATACTGATTTTTATGTATTCAGATATAGAACGTTTGGCACATTAATAAAACCGATTTTCATTGCTGCAAAAACGATAAAATAAAAAATAATATTATTATTATCGTTCCTCAAAAGTCGTAAAACTTAAGGCACTTTTCAGCTTCAATGGAGAAAGGGATATCTGTTTTTTTTTTTTTGGCGCATGATTTATGATTTATTAATAACATATCCAAATGCCATCAATGGGGAAGGGTAACTCCATGTATTGAAAGCAAATTTTTGATGATGCTGGATTTTATTTGGAGTGGCTGACTGGGCTGACCTTTAACTGAAGACTGCCGAAAGATTTATGTTTAAAGGTCATTCGAGTTGTGAACGGATTTGTTACTGACATAAACAATCTCTTTACTTGCAGATACTTTGTGCTCACTCGTGACTACTTGCATTGCTTCAAGAGAGCCTCGGGATCGGCCAATGAACGTGCCTCCGATATGGGACAGTTTATCTTTAAGGTAAGTCAAAATAATGGATTAGAAAAAACCTCCATTTTGTTCCACAAGTTTCATATCATTTCCCATTTAACCGCGCTAAGCGGAAACTTTGTTATTTACGGGGCATTGTGTGAAATTCTATTGCAGCCAGGTTGAGATTTATGCCCGGGCTTTATGAGCCAGTCATGGCTATAACCTGTTCGTGGTGCGGGAGGGGTGACTAGGACACACCTTTCCGAGCTGAACAGCAACACAAAAAATGGCTTATAAATGAAGTCTTTTTCGGTTGACAATGCCAGACACATCCAGTCACGTTTTGCAATTGACTTTTCAGTCAGATGGATGAAAGATATCCGTCCCGGGTAGTGGGTAGTATGGGGAGTCCATTGATAGGCAATCTTCAATTGAAATCCGTTTGACTTTTTTGCGAAATCCCGATCGAAGAGGAAAAACTTCAACTAATTGGATAAAACTTGCATCTACTGCATGTTAATTTGCTTAACTATTTGCCCAGCTATGCCCCCGCCAGCATCGTGATAGTCCCCCCAACTGGAGTGCCTCAACTCCTATAGTATGTGCAACTTTACGTTGAAAGCAAAACAAATACTGGAAAAACCCTGAAGGCAAGCGGGTAAATACAAACAGGAACAAACAAAAAGGAAAATGGCAAAGAAAATTACTGAGAAAAAGCTTAAGTCCTAATGCTCTTTTTAAAAATTCAAAAAAGGTTTCAACTTAATTAGTTTTATTTAAATGAGCATTTTCCTTAAAGCGTATATTTTTTAACAATATGTAGATTATAAAAGCCAACAGTGAGGGTATTCAATACCCGATTGCCATGAAATTTTTCATTAAAATCAGCCACCGTATGTAGTTGTAGTTGCTACTTAAACAAATAAGGAAAGTGCACGAACAACAGCAGCTTGCTACTGCAAAGAGATCATGGGAAAATTACGATTTTTTTTTTGTCCATTTTCCTGTTTAATTTTGTTTTAAATTTGTCTTTTTGTTGGCATTGCTAAAAATCTCTCTTGAAAGCAGTGTCAATACATAGATACCCCGCCCGGCGGCAGGTTGTTGTTGTTTACAGTTTAATTTTAAATTAAAATACACTTTTTTTTCTCGCAAAATAAAACAAAACGAAAATTGTTCGGGCAATTTTCCAAAGTAAATAAGCAAAAAAAACCCACGGTTCGGGGAAATTGTTGAAGTAACAACAAAATTAAACCAGAGGCAGGGGAAAATAATGACATAGGTGGAACTAAATGGTGAAAAATGCCAAGCACTGTGCGGGAGATTAACTTATTTAATGTGAAGGAAAATATTTGCCAGGAAATTAAGAAATGAAATTGAGGAAAATTAATCAAAAAAGACAGCCCGGTATTTAAGATATTATTTAACGATTTAATGCCAAATAAATATCACCCAATTGACCTTCAATAAATTCGCCCAAAAATGGTAACAACATGAGACATCAAAGACAACCACCCAGCCACCCACACTCGACCTGGTCTAGCCGAGTCTCAACCCAAAGGCATTCAGCCATGAAGAAGGTGTGAAAGAGAGCACAGCTAGGTAGATGAAAGAGACGGCACGCAAGGAAATACTTGACTCATTAACGAGGAAGGAAGGCGGCATCTCATTTTATCGCTTTTTTGTGTGTTTCGCTTGTTCATTGATGTTTTATTGACACTACAATGATTCAATATCGCCTCGTCAATGTAATCAACTTAATCAATTAGGCGTAAAGACAAAGCGAGGCAGCGTGTCAGGGGGCCATCTGTCTCATTCTAATTATTTAATGCGATTTTCGCAAATTTTCAACAGTTTTCAGTCTGTCAGTGAAATGAAAGGCCTACACACACCACGGGGGAAATCAATCGGGCATAATTACAGGTGCTGAGAGATTGTCAGGCGCCGCCAGTGGGTGGGTGGTGGTTGGGTTTTAATGTTGATGCTTTGGTTTACCTGCCTGCGGGATGGCAAAGTTTTCTGCCTCAGAATTCTGCAGCTTTGCACTCTGACAGTGATTGAAAGCGATATTGATTTTTGTCCTTGGCTGGGATGAGAGAGCCATCCTGGCCGTGCCGGAGGGAAATGCAATTTCCGTCTCTTCTCCATTAATGAGCATTATTAATTGGGTTGCACTAAAGTGACTACGATACGGAGGCTTGAAATATGAGCTTGCATAATTAAAACAGGGTAGATAATAAAAAGAAAACTCAACAAAAGAGGCCAGGAATTATGCTTTAAATTAAATTATATCCATAGCCATGAGATAGATCCGTACACGCGCCAAATTCAATTCAACTTTCTCAAACTGCAATGCCAAAATCTGGTAAGCTTTTGTGTTAGTTTTGACAGCTCAGGCTATTAAACATGTCAAAATATAAAACAGCAATGGCTACAATGGAATTTGTTCATAAACCCCATAAATAACAATAATAAATAATAACAGGCGAGCCAACAAGCCGATCAATGACGACCTTGAACACCTGATTTGTTGGCCAAACTTGGAGCGGAAATTTGGGAAAATATCTATTGGCCATTGATTGTGGGTTTGGACACCAGTATGCATAATCAGTTGGGTCAGAGTTTCACACACAAATAGACCTCAATAGAGGTCAAACGTAGAGAAAGCAAAAGGTAGAAAAATATTACATAAGTAAACCTTTAAAAATAGAACTGATATTCGATTTAAATCAAAATCCAATATTAGTTTAATGTAAACTTTTGTGTGGCAATATCGAAATCTGGCATCTTTTGTGGGGATCATCGTGGAATATCATAAATATTTAAATTTTATCCATTTCTTAGAGTTCCACCCACACACCAGAACCCACTCCACTCCCCAGAGAGTCTCCAGTCTGATCTTTGATCGTGACATGAACAAATCCAGCGATTCATCCATCAAACGAAGTGGAATCGGCTTGCTTAACTTTATGCGATTTTCCATATTCCAACCAGGCTGCTTCCACAATTTATCATAAAAAGCGATCGGCCCTCCGAAATGCTTAAAGAACTTAATTATGTTGGCCATTAGATGGAGTGAGGGAGAAAGATAGAAAAGAAAAGAGGACGCATAACTTGGCTAATTGCCACACGCGGCGGCAGCTTCTGCTTCTGCTGCCTCAGATTCTGCCTCTGAGGCTTTTCCTCAGCTATTTTCCATTCTCTGGTTGTTTTTTTTCTGCTTTCTTGGGGCTGCTGACATATTTGCCTAATGGCCTCACATAGTTCTTGGCCATAAGAGAGCGCCATGCCAGCACGATGAATCGTTGGCGAACTTTAAGTTCTTGCTCATAAACAAGAGGGCGAAAACAAAATAAAAGGGACAAAAAAATAAGTTCAATAAAAAGTTTTTCATGTTAAAAAAGTTTGCGGCTCCTATAGAGGAAGAGCCTGCTGGCCTAATGACTTTTAACCGAGTTGCAATATGCAAAAGGGAAGCAGGCCATAGACTAGACCAGAACAAGGGAATGACACTTAATTGCATTATTCCAACAAAGTTGTCAGCTTGAAAGTTTTTACTAAAAATAATTGGTATGTACTCCTTTTGAAGCTTTCATTTAAAAATTAGTTGAGTGGGTTGTGATTTTCACAACTGCAGAAAGGTATGCTATTGTATTTAGAATATTACGTATACGCCCTGTAGGGTGTTGAGATAGACTTTATGGAACAAAAGTATACAATTTTCAATATTTGTTTAGTGACCTTAACCAATCCATCTGTACAACAAAGACCCCTAGACCTCTTTCCCACCCAGTCATCCCCTCCCCTTGCCATCTAACCAATTCAATTGTAAACCCCACTCTCAGCGTCCCACTGAGTGTGATCCGGATAAGTCTTTTTGTTTTACATTCCGTGGAAAAACGTTTACATAACCTTTAACTTGATTGTCTAACTTCATTGTCTTCTGTGGTTTCGCTTCAGGTCAAATTGGTGGACGTCGAGAAGGTGGAATGGCTGAACCGACGCTCCTACAGCGCCATTGGACTGTTGTTGGGCCGCGAGGGTAGAGTTCTGCTTCGCTGCGACGATGGCCTCGAGGACTGGTTCGAGCTGCTGGAGGTGAGTTGTCACGGCCATCTAGCATCTGACTTTTATAGAATTTTTCAAACAAGAATCATAACTAATCATAACCTTTAACCCATAGGAATGCACGATTACCTCCAAGGAGCGCAGAAAGGCCTTGAAGATTGCCCAGGGCCCACGTTCCCGCGCCTCACTGGCTGCCCCCGTGTCGCATGCCTCGTTGCAGTTTGGACTGGGTGGCACCTACTCCAGTGCCCTGGACGACTGGCTGATGACCAATGGCACTGGCGGAGGCTTGGCTCGTCACAAAATTGGAGCTGGCAGCCTCAACGGATACGCCGGGGCAAATCCCTTCCTGTTCTCCGACTCTGTGCCGGACCTGAGTGCTCTGAACAATGAGAACCACAACCACCACATGAGTGGCATCAGCACCAACCACTCGACACCCCAGAAGATACCGCACCACAGCAATGCGAATCTCAGCCGTTACTCCAACGGCTATGCCTCGGCCCAGAACAGCTTCACCCAGGGCAATAGCGCCCTGTACGGTTCGCCCAGGAGGATCTTTATCAACAGCAGCTTCGGCTCTAACCAGGTGGTGGATGAGGAGACCGAGGAAGCGGAGGTGCAACTGCGACGACCAAGACTGTTCCGAGGCGTAAGCGCCACTCCGGATAATGGCAACGAGCTGGACAGGGATTGGCTCTACAGGAAGCCCAGGGCGCCCACTGATATGAGGCACTCAGGTGGGTTTTCTTATCTTCTTCAAGACGAGAGTGTTTTCTAATTCATTTTCTACTTGCAGTCCAACCTATGTTGCCCACTGGCGGTGGCAGTAATATGGGCCTGGCCAAGGCGGAGCTAGACGGTTCCGCTCATGATAGCGGCCTGGACACACCTCCGTCGACGCACCGCCCCTCTAGCTACCGGGAGGCGAGCCGGGACAGCACCGAAACTAATGGAAGCTCCTCCCGCGGCACCCTCCTCAACAACTCCTCGCCCGGCGGCAGCTTCCGGGCCAAGAAGCTGAGCAGCCAAGTTACCAATCTCAATCAGCTGAATGCCCTGCATGGCTCTCGGTACTCGGTGCAGGATCAGCGCATCCTCAAGATGCGCAACAACGAGGAGGATCGCTGTGCCTCGATCAAAATGGCCAATCGCCTGAACCAGAATCACGAGCAACTGCCGCAACAGGCCTCCTATGATCCGAACCAGAACCGGTACTACAAGAACGGCAATGCCACGCCCCCCACTTCGCTTACGCCCCAGCACACGCCGCAGCACAAGCTGCTGATGATGCACCACGGCAATGGAAATGGTAATGGCGGCACCCTGAACGGCAACAGCAATGGATCGGACCGGATGAACGGATCCGCCATTTTCCGAGAGCGCTACCAGCATCCGGCCTTGGCCGCCATCATTAACGAGGCCCAGGGCCTGAAGTTCAGAGGTAGGTGGGGGGGTTCCCAATACGGGTTGGCTTGCATCCCTCATCGTTCATCTGGCATGGTTATGTGTTGGTTTTGACATTCTTTTATTATTTTGGTTTTGGATTAATATTATTATTTAATTAAGACTTAAATGCAGATATTATTAGACTAAGTGTTTGATTTGGATAACTATTTAGTTCCAAAATTTATTCAATTTTTTAAAGTAAGATCTACATTTTATTAAGTTTTAAAATTTGTATTGATTTCAATTTACTTTGTAAATAAAACCCAGAAAACTCAAAGCATTACCATCTACACTCCATCGTTATTTCATTAAACTCATCCTTTATTACTTTTCGTAAATAATAATTTATTTTATATTATTTTACACTTGCATGTTAACTATTTAAAGAAGAATCGGAAAATATGTGGTAAACTCCTGAATCGAAACTCCAAACTGTGCATGTAACACAAGACGTTCTCCTCAAAAGCATGACAAGATCGGGCTATATATGAGTTATAGAAAAACCCCATTAATAAAGAGACACTTTCCGCAACTTGTAGAGCGCGCCTTCTCGGACAGTCAGCAGCGCCGCCTGAACAACAACAATGGCCCCAATCCCCAGCCAGCCTCGCCACTCGCCCAGCGCCGGAACAGTCCCGGACTGGGATCCGGAGTCGGATCAGGAGCCATCTTTGGTACCCCGACGCGAGTATAGCGCCTAAAGGTCTAAGGATAATCCAACTCGACGGAGAATTGATTACTCCACGTAGTTTAAAGTTCATTAAGCCGTAAATTAGTCAACTTAGAGGAAAGTGCGGAAATTATTTGCATAGAAAATACATCAACGAACGTAGAAAATAGCTATTACGTAGTAGTACTCTTAGTGTGTGTGCTCCAATGTCCAGCTTTATGTAAATGTTTAAATAAAATATACCTTAAAGAAATTAATATAAAAATGAATATCCAAATACTTAATTGGCAAGCGGTGTTTAAAAATGGATTACCAATATAATATAATTCATAAAAAACGCATGGGATCCCAGTTCGGCCCACCGTGATGGCCATATCTTGGCCAAAAATCATCCGATTCTACTGAGGCGCACCTTAAAAGATTTGTAGAGCAATTCTCTGTAAATCTGCATCAAAATCTACAAACAAAATATTTTTTCGATTTTTTGTCAAATTTTCTGATGGACCCCTACGAAATCCTGAAAAATGCATGGGGGCACAGTTCGGCCCACCGCGACTGACATATATTGGCCAAAAATCATACGATTCTACTGGGGAACACCTTAAACGATTTGTAGAGCAATCCTCTGTAAATCTGCATCAAAATCTACAAACAAAATATTTTTTCGATTTTTTGTCAAATTTTCTGATGGACCCCTACGGAATCCTGAAAAATGCATGGGGGCACAGTTCGGCCCACCGCGACTGACATATATTGGCCAAAAATCATACGATTCTACTGGGGAACACCTTAAACGATTTGTAGAGCAATTCTCTGTAAATCTGCATCAAAATCTACCAACAAAATATTTTTTCGATTTTTTGTAAAATTTTCTTTTAGACCCCCTACGAAATCCTGAAAAACGCATGGGGGCACAGTTCGGCCCACCGCGATGGCCATATCTTGGCGAAAAATCATCCGATTCTACTGGGGAACACCTTAAACGATTTGTAGAGCAATTCTCTGTAAATCTGCATCAAAATCTACAAACAAAATATTTTTTCGATTTTTTGTCAAATTTTCTGATGGACCCCCTACGAAATCCTGAAAAATGCATAGGGGCACAGTACGGCCCACCGAATTCAGATGGCCCCCAAAACCCAAAAAAATTAAGGCGCAGTTCGCCCCCCCCCGTTGCCATATCTTGGCTAAAAATCATCCGATTCTACTAGGGACCACCTTAAACGATTTGTAGAGCAATTCTCTGTAAATCTGCATCAAAATCTACAAACAAAATATTTTTTCGATTTTCTGATGGACCCCTTACGAAATCCTGAAAAATACATGGGGGCACAGTTCGGCCCACCGCGACTGCCATATCTTGGCCAAAAATAATCCGATTCTACTGGGGAACACCTTAAACGATTTGTAGAGCAATTCTCTGTAAATCTGCATCAAAATCTACCAACAAAATATTTTTTCGATTTTTTGTAAAATTTTCTTGTAGACCCCCTACGAAATCCTGAAAAATGCATGGGGGCACAGTTCGGCCCACCGCGATGGCCATATCTTGGCCAAAAATCATCCGATTCTACTGGGGAACACCTTAAACGATTTGTAGAGCAATTCTCTGTAAATCTGCATCAAAATCTACAACCAAAATATTTTCCGATTTTTTGTCAAATTTTCTTTTGGCCCCTACAAACCCTGAAAACAAAGGGGGCAGTTTTCCCCCCCCCCGGTCCCCATTTCTTGGCTAAAAATCATCCGATTCTACTGGGGAACACCTTAAACGATTTGTAGAGCAATTCTCTGTAAATCTGCATCAAAATCTACAAACAAAATATTTTTTCGATTTTTTGTCAAATTTTCTGATGGACCCCCTACGAAATCCTGAAAAATGCATGGGGGCGCAGTTCGGCCCACCGCAACTGCCATATCTTGGCCAAAAATCATCCGATTCTACTGGGGAACACCTTAAACGATTTGTAGAGCAATTCTCTGTAAAACTGCTAAAATCCACAAAAAAAATTTTTTTCAATTTTTTAAGTTTTCTGATGGACCCTACGAAATCCTGAAAAATGCATGGGGGCGATGGTCCCATGGCATATCTTGGCTAAAAATCATCCGATTCTACTGGGGAACACCTTAAACGATTTGTAGAGCAATTCTCTGTAAATCTGCATCAAAATCTACAAACAAAATATTTTTTCGATTTTTGTCAAATTTTCTGATGGACCCCCTACGAAATCCTAAAAGCGATGGCCATATCTTGGCCAAAAATTATCCGATTCTACTGGGGAACACCTTAAACGATTTGTAGAGCCATTCTCTGTAAATCTGCATCAAAATCTACAAACAAAATATTTTTTCGATTTTTTGTCAAATTTTCTGATGGACTCCCTACGAAATCCTGAAAAATTCATGGGGGCGCAGTTCGGCCCACCGCGTTGGCCATATCTTGGCTAAAAATCATCCGATTCTACTAGGGACCACCTTAAACGATTTGTAGAGCAATTCTCTGTAAATCTGCATCAAAATCTACAAACAAAATATTTTTTCGATTTTTTGTAAAATTTTCTTGTAGACCCCTACGAAATCCCCAAGTTCGGCCCACCGCGATGGCCATATCTTGGAAAAAATCCTCGAAAAACCTTAAACGATTTGTAGAGCAATTCTCTGTAAATCTGCATCAAAATCAAAATTTTTTTTTAAAAATTTTTTCATTTTTGTCAAATTTTCTTTTAGACCCCCTACGAAATCCTGAAAAACCGATGGCCATATCTTGGCTAAAAATCATCCGATTCTACTGGGGAACACCTTAAACGATTTGTAGAGCAATTCTCTGTAAATCTGCATCAAAATCTACAAACAAAATATTTTTCGATTTTTCAAATTTTCTTGATGGATTTCCGGGCCCCTACGAAATCCTGAAAAATGGGGGGGGGGGGTTTTCCCCCCCCCCAACTGCCATATCTTGGCCAAAAATCATCCGATTCTACTGGGGAACACCTTAAACGATTTGTAGAGCAATTCTCTGTAAAACTGCGTCAAAATCTACAAACAAAATATTTTTTCGATTTTTTGTGAAGTTTTCTGATGGACCCCCTACGAAATCCTGAAAAATGCATGGGGGCGCAGTTCGGCACACCGCGATGGCCATATCTTGGCTAAAAATCATCCGATTCTACTGGGGAACACCTTAAACGATTTGTAGAGCAATTCTCTGTGAATCTGCATCTAAATCTAGACCCAAATAAAAAATAGGAAATTTTAAAATCATTTTTAATTATGGAACCGTATGCAAAACCGTAAAGTTGACCCACTTTCGAGCTGTTCAAAAATGATTCCGAAACTTACAGGGATCAAGCTGTAAGCTTTGCAAAGTACTTTCCAAAGCGAAAGCTTCTCAAGCTCAGGATGCCAAAGTTTATGCGTTTTCATAGAAGATGCAAACCTGATGAGCTTTTTCGTTAGGAGAGCTTTGGCTGAGAGCGAGGACGAGCTGCAACCCTCGAAGGAAACAATTCTGGGAAACAGCCGGGTGGGAGGTGGAAAGGGCTTTTCGGAGTCAACAATAAAATTTTCAGTCAGCTTTGAGACGCAGCAGCCACAGCAGCAGCAGGAAAAGCAGTAGCAGCAGGAGGTAGAGAAAAATTCGACCAGGATGCGAAGTCGCACGGAGCTGGTGACCACCACATTCGTGGAGAGTGACGAGGAGGACTTCAGTCCCGACGACGACTCTGACTCCGAGGAGGACTGGCGACCCACCAAGAAGCGCCCTGCCAAGCAGGGACGTGGCGGTGGCGCCGGAGCTAGTGCATCCTCGGCTACCGATGGCAGGAAGCGGAAATCGGCGGCAGCTCCTGGCTCAAAGGCCAAACGGCGGGCGGCCAAGGTGAGCGACGACGATTCCGAGAACGAGGATGACCTAGAATCAGATCCCAGTGACGAGGACTTTGACTATCCCTCGGCCAGCACTTCGAAGCGACCGCAGAGTTTGCCTCCCAAGAAGCAGTTCGTAAAGCTGAGCCAACTGGACCTGATGGTCAAGAAATCAGACCTGTTGGAGAAGGACTGGATGAAGAACAATCGGCTGTGCTTGTGGCGCCGAGACGAACATACGACCCTACTTCAAAAGTACTTACGTGTGAAATCCGACGAGGACGAAATGGTTTTCACTTCCAGTTCAGTGGTAACTTAAATAATTCTATTCAATGGTCTTTCAAAAAATAATCCTGATATGTATTCCCTTAGTATTCCAGTTGGGATGACCAACAGACGGATGATTTCATAGAGATCAAAGTCAACTGCTTGGATCCCAACAACAGGCGCATTAAAATACACGATCTGGAGGCTCTGAAGAAAACCTCAATAGACTTACAATCGGAGAAGGAGAAGACTACACCGAACGAGGACGAGGCAGAGTCCGAGGAGGTGGAAGAAACGCCGAGCGAGGCTGATCCTTGAACTATCAACTAACTAATGAAACTAACAATTTTCTTAGAATTTAAACTAAAACTAGTTGGCCAAGTTAGCGTTAGACAACAAATTTCCTTACTCGTAACAGCAGAAATGTGAAAACAAGTTTAATTTTAATTTAGTAAATTAAAGGAGCCAGAAGAAAACCAAAACAAAAAAAAAAGAGAATCAAAAGAAGAAACAACATTTTAAAAATATCCATTTAAAACTTTGGCGTTTCAATTGCATTACAAAGTTGTATATATCCTGTGGGTTAATATGAAACTGAACAATAGTTGGCTGGGGGACGGTTACCGGCGCCTTTCACCTTTCACTGTCTTTCGCTTTTCCTTCTTTTCCTCGCGGAGCTGTTTCTGTTTTTCACGGTCCTCTTTATCCTTTTGCTTCTTGGCCGCACTGTCCAGCCGGGCCTGCTCTCGTTTCTCCTTGGCCAGGGCCTGGACATCTGACTTGTTGGTATTGGGAGCCAAAGCGCCACTGTCATCCTCGCTCTCCACCTGGGAATCGTCTTCATCTTCATTCAGAACTGCCGTCTGTGGGAGAGGAAAGGGATATTAGATTATGCTTTTGGAGCCGGATCTTTCATGATAGGAACCTGTGAGTACTGGGCCAGTATCTGTTGTTTGATGCGTCGTTCTTCTTCTGTGTATTCGCGTTCCTTGGAGGCGGCAGGTTGCAGCTTCTGTTGCTCCAGCATCTTGGCTAGCTGGGCATTAACATCGATGTCCAAGCCCTTCTTGGGCGGCTCATCGGCGCTGGGATGGCTCGTCAGCCACTTTTGCAGAATGGTGGCCACCAGTTCATCAATGTTGGAAGACTGACAAGGGAAGGGATTGAATTAGAGTTCAAATAGGAATAAAATTAGATCCCTACTTACCCCTGTTTCGCTTAGAATTCCTTCGAGAGCTTCAGTCTTCTCCTCCGTCGTTTCATCGCCCTCCAGGATGCCCACAATGTAGGAGCCGAAAACCCCCTCGTCCATATTCAGCTGGCGCAGCTGCTCGTTTAGCCAGCTCACGAATTTTTCACTGGCACTCATGGTGTTCCTTAGATTCGTACGATTATCACGTGTTGTACTAACTTTAAAAGTTAGTTGGGCAGTGAAAATTTAACCGCAAATGGCAACAAAATTTTGATTCCGATGAACATGTGTGGCAGTGTTGCAAAGCGGCCAAACTTAACAGATGTTGTGAAAGGAGCTGCCCACTTGTTAATAAGGCAATATTATGTTTAAGTTTTAGTTTTAATTAATATTTAAAGCAATACCTTAAAATAGTTTTGGATTAATACACATTCTGAAATTCTTATTTTAAAATAATTTAAAAATAAATCTCCTCTGGCAATACTCTTTCCAATCAGCTGTTTTCCTAGACCTTATGCAACACTTAAACCTGTTTTGGTAAACGTTTTTATACTTTTAGTTATTTGCCGAACTTAAAAATTGCTATGCTTTTTTTATAACAAATGGAATATATGATTTTATGTTTAAATAAATTAGCCAAGTGCCGATTAAAAAAGAAATGACATTTTATTCGTGGCTTAAATGATAGACGGGTATTTAAAAAAAAATAAACAAAAATGTTTGGGCCCCCCAACCGTATAAACAAATCGTGTTTGTTTCCAAGAGAGTGATACAATTTTGAGAGCTCCTGTGCGTAATTGCATGTAATGGGGACTTTGGCGTTTGCGATAATTCGCAGCACAGACCCCCCAGCACCCCCCACCGCCAGCATATCGTCACACGTCTGCGACACCTGCGTCGGTGCTGTCGCTAAGTTGTTGTTGTTTTTGTTGTTTCTGCTGCTGTCGTCGCCTTCGTCTTTTGTTTATTTGTTGCTGGGCGTCTCGTCGGCAGACGCGTTATAAACAAAAAAAAATAAAATAAAGAAATACCCATACACTCCACTCGAGACAAGGCACACTCGCTCGCGTTGGCAACAAGTGAAAATATCCATACAGTTCCATCTATGTATCTATGTTTATGGGGTTGTGCGAGTGCCGAGTGTGTGTAATCATAAGACGCCGAAGAAAACCCTAAAAGCCAAAAAAAAAAAAAAAAAAAAATCAGCAAAAGACACGGCTTTGAGCCAAAAATTACAATTGAGAAGATACTTGGTTTCAGGTAAGGTTTCGGGTTCTGTAAGGTTACCCTCTTTAGGGGCTAGACCCTATTGGAATGATTTTCTTAAGTCTATTTGGTTAATTTTTTAACTAATTTTTTAAAGAAAATTTTTATTTTCCACTACTAACAAGTCTGGAACATTTTCATTAAATTTTCCTTCATTTTTTAGGTTTTTTTAGCTTGAAGTTTATATTTTTTCAAAAGTATCTTAAGGATAGTGAGCAGTTACCTGTGTTTTCCAAGCTATCTAAAGGATAGGCTGTAGTTTTAAGATCATCATGTACATGCTTATAACTAATTTAAGAGTATTTTTATAATATTTTTATATTTTAAGAGTAAATTTTAAGCAAAATACGAATTATTTTAAAAGAAACCTTAAACCTGTCCTTACCTAAAATAACCCTAAGGTACCTTATCCTTAGGTACCTTATCCTAAGATACCTCAAGTATCTCAAGGTTTAATTCAATCATAAGTATCTGTAAAATATACTTACCAAAAACTACTTTTAATATGGAAGAACTGGAAGTATCTTTAGGATATCTTCTCTGGGAAACCCACACTATCGAGTTATGTTGACTGTTTTTTAATGGCCCACGATGTGGCAGGGTCTGTTTATGGGCCTGGGTGCCTCTTACTTTCCAATCTCTGTCCATATTCATGTGAGCTTCTCCAACAGCTTGGTTGTGTGTGTATCTGTATGCATAATAAAGGCCATTAAAATTAAGTAATTGACGCAACCAGAGAGGCATGTTAAAGGGGGCGGTGGGTAACAAGGCGGGAAAACCGGGAAATATCATTCCTCTCATGAAATTCTTAAAGTTTATTTCCATTCGATGACTACCTTTCGTCATGAAATTGAAGAACCATTTAAAAGCTAATAAAATTCACACTCTTTGGAGGGCCAGGCACAGTGGTTTGCAAAGATACTTGTATATATATTATAGATATATACTTCGAAATCTTGAAGACTTTATTCCACTGTTGGGAGTCCCTTTTGGAATTTAACGGCTTCCCTCGGACTCGCCCTCGGCTATTAAGTTTTTCCTCCTCGCCAGCTTTTCCCGCCAATCTTTTTTGTCTTTTATGAGGAATCCTGGCTCTAATTGTGGGAAACTGGGAAATGGATTTCCATACCCAAGCCCAGGCTTACAGCCAGAAGCAATCAAATGGAAAACGCAACAAGTCAAAACCAGGAGGACTCACAAAAAAAAAATTTGATGGCCAATGGAGTGAAGGTTGCACATCAGAGAACGAAATCAATTTAGAGACTTGGACGTGGGCGTGGATGCCACGGGGAGCTTATCCTGTAAAGTCGGTTCTTGTCGTGGAATTTTCCTCTTTAGGGAGCCACCCATCGAGAACTCTGGGAGAAAACTGTGATCCCTCAATAAAACACATATGCTCTGAGTATCTAAGGATATCCTAATTAGTGTTGTATCTTTTAATCCTTATCCTGAAACAGTCGGAAAATCGGATTATTTTTTAAGATATTCTACTTCAAATGTACAGAAAATTTTCCACAATTCTAAGTAGCTCCTTGTTGGGGATGGGAATCCAACCCATCTGGCATTCAGTAATGTGATTGAAAAGGCTTCTACGCCGGTTGGATGCCAGTTGGATGCCATGTGGCTCCATGGGCGGTTGATGGATTCCATTCACGGTGCTCGTATCCACTTAACTATTGGCTTGAATTGAGGTTGTTGTTGTTGGTATTCCTCTTGCTGCTGCTGACATTTTCATTTTTTTTTTGCTACAGTTTTCCTGCTGATGTTGGATGCTGGATGCTGTATCATTGCCATGTTGTTGACAAATTGTCTAGAACGGAGAGGGGTAGGCCCCATCCTCATCTCTATGGTGGTACTGGCCCTAAAATGTGTGTCAATAAATGTGTGTTAAAAATACCGTTAGGCTGTACTGTGTTCCATGGGTGATATATGGCCCCCAAGAGCCGACTCCTGTTGCGCCCAACAATCTCAGGCGGTGGTCTACCATCCCCAACCCATCTGGATGGCTGGATAGCTGGGACTGCTGGCACAAACAATTTTCAATTAAGCGCACAATCACGATAAATAAATCTCATTGTGCAAAAAGCCAGTTTCATCTACACGAGCTTAGCTTAACTTGGCTTTTCTCTAGATGTACAGCAATTTTCTGCGGTTTTTCCATGAAGGAGGAGGGGAGTGGGTGTGGGTTGGGTGGGATTTCTGCAATAAAACTCCACCCAGGTAGCGGCAGCTATACTGAGACTGCACAATCTTCACAAGCTTCCTCCAGCGGAGCTAACACGCTTTTGCTTCTAGCTGCCAGCTAATGCTCTTCACACAAGCGGGTTAGTTGGTATTATTATCTCGGGGAGTTGGTTAGAAACATGAATCATACAATTAATTACTGGGTTGTGGTGTGAATCCACGTAGATGAATTATAATTTTGATGGAAGCTTAAGACTATGTTTTAAACTAAAGGGAAAGTTAGTAATTAAGCTTATAATTCTTATACAAAATTGTATATATTTTAATTAAGTAGTAAGTATATTAAAAATTCGTTTATTTATCAAGAAAGACTTCCTTGCAATAAATTCTCCTGTTTAAGGTTTTAAGAGCAATATGTTTCTATAATATTGATATATATCCCTACTGCGTGTGGTCTTATAAAAGTATGTATATTTTAAAGAACTCTACAAAATCCAAGCAAATTCAATCAAGCGAAATTAAACAAGATTTCCGTGAAGAGACGGCAGCTCCAGCTCCCTACCAATCTAATGGGTAGAAGAAACCCCAGCCCCCGGTCACCAAATTAAGCAAAACTTTATACATACACCCCCTCCTCGAGCCAAACTTGATTTCGCAGGAGAACATTTCTTATAAAGTAAATAATAAATCAGCGAAGAGACGATATATGAAAAAATAAAAAAGAACAGTATGTATGTATGTACATAAGAAGAGATTCACACACACACACAGACTGACACAAAAGGCCTTTAAAAGATATATCCACATCCATGAGATACTCAACAAAAAGAATCTCCTAAACTTGCCTATAGAAGATTTAGTGGCTGCGTCTTCTGCGTCCTCGATGCTTAGGTAGCTTCAAAAGGAAGTAAACAGGATTTGAGCTTTACCAGGAATCTCTCATGTTTTCATGTCTTGGTTGTGGTGTGTCTTTAACCTTTCGGACATTAGGTACAAAATAGTTTGTTATTTTTGGGCAGCTCTCTCTCCAGTCCGTTTATTTACTTGATGGAAATTCGATATATTTAAATATGTATACTATTATGGAGGGGTTTTATGCTCTTAATAAATTCTCTGAATTTTAATAAATGATAAGACTTGTGTAATTTGAAGACATTATTTTTTCGTCAACTTTTTTTCGTGTGAGAATGTTTTTTAGAAAAGTATCAGAGAACTGTTTCCTGGAATTCTTTGTTGTAACTTTTATGGATATCCATATCCATACCATATTTATTCAATTATTCATTAAAATTGCACTTTGGACCTGGTTGTATGGGCATTTCCTATTTACACTTATCGTGTTGTTTTCGGTTCTCATTTTTGCTTATTTGTTGGGTTGCTGGGTTGCTGGCTTGCCATGCTTTTCTGCACAAGTGCGCAATTATTTGTGCAACATAATTAAAATTTTATTAATTCATAAACAAATGCGCAGAGCGAGTGCGAGTGCTGGCAGTGCTGAGGAGGAAGAAGGACTCGCCAGCCTGCAGTTCAGCCTTTCAGCACTTCATCAACGTGGCTGCTTTTGGGTGTTGTTGCTGCCACTGCTGTTGCTGTTGCTGCCACTGCTGCATCATTCATAAAAAATTCCATAAATGCAGACACAACAACAGCAGCAACATCAGCACGTAGTATAGCTGGCATATACCATTTTCACACCCACTTCCACCCACAGGGCACCTCCAGCCCAGCCCACCTCGTCACCTTGTCAATTTTACATGTGGAGCACGTGTCGCTGCCCGTGTTCAGATGTTGCCACTGGCAATGGCAAATTTTCTTCCTTAACTCTAATTAAAGAGCTCTTCACGGAAACCTCCTTGAACCCTACCAGTAACCTGCATCCATCAGACTTTTAATTTGATTCATTCTAGCTTTTTTTTCAAACTTTCACGGTTGCAACACCTGTCGAACTGTTACCATCAGCATAAATCCAAAATAAAAAAAAAATGAATATAAATAAATATGTTAAATATAAAGCTTGCAGCTCGAGAGCAGACACAGAGAAAACCCCTTCGTTGAAAAAGCGAACACGGCAAATATCCCACAAAGTTGATGAAATGCACACAAAACAATATTCAACAAATAACACGAACAAAATTTTAACAAAATATTAAACTAAAAAGGCTGAAAAAAATTTATGAAAAAGGCAATGTGTGTTGAAACTTAGACAAATACAAATTAAAGCAAATAGAAAGAGTGTCAATATTTAAAAAAGTGCCAAACAAAAAATATATATTTGCTTCTCTGGAGTTTCGAACGCGTGTCGGCAACAATGGGAAATGAAACAAAAGGAAATTTTTAATAAAAAGGCTAAGAATTTATACTTAAGTTTGAACAAAGTTAGAGTTTAAAACTAAAGCTTAAACCCAACAAATTTCAAAGAAGTACTTTGATCTTATTTGTTTAAAATATAAGTTTTTAGAGAAAACAATAATAGTTTCAATGTTTTTCCTCAAAAAAGGACTCTTTCACTAGAGAGTTTCGAACTTGTGTCGAAAACAGTGGGAAATGAAACAAAGAAAAATATTGAAACTTGGTACATTTATTTGAACTAAAATATAGTTTTAAATAAAAACTTGAAATGAATATTCCTTGAACTTTTTGAGTACAAAATAAAAATTGTACAAAAATATACACAATAAACAATACATATTATGTGTTCCATAAAAAAAGAACTCTGTTTGGGTCGAGTTTCTAACGAAAAAGAGAAATATAAAAATTTGAGACTTATTTCTAAACTAAAGCTTAAAATGAAAAATAATCAAAATAAAAATCTAAACAAATTATTAATTACTTCAATCTTTTCCGCAAAAAAATCAAGGCAAAGGCCCTGGCAACAACCATTCAAAAATAAACCAAAACACCAAAAATTCAATAATTTTCGCATGAAACGCCTTCGTTTTGGGTTCCTTCCCGACTTTGATTATAAATTTTTGTTGGTCTAGCGTAGCAAAATATACGTAGAGGAGTTTAGAGGTTTAAAAAAAAAAAAGAAAAACGCTAAAGGGGCATAGGTATAGGTATACCGAGTATAATATCGTCTGCAAGCCGACATTTATGGCGTCACGTTGGCAACTACTGGTTTTTGATTTTTATTTTTAGAGTTTGCGGCGCTCTAACAATTCATGGCTTCGTCGCTGGGTTTATAATTGCTTTTTTTAATTCACTTTTTTGGCTTTGCTGCTGGTTTCTTACCTATTTATGGGTACAGCTGATTCCAGAGCAGGTAAAAGTGAGAAGAACCCCAGTCCCCAGTGCCCATCTCAGGGTTAAGCTTTGGCAAAAGTTTTGCTTGGAAATCTGCAAGTGAAGTGGAACACGAGGAGGAGGAAGATCATCTCAGGTTTCTGGGTGGTCAACAAGTGTCACCAGTTCCTAATTCTCTGGTTCCTCTGCCATTTTTCGCTTCTAATTGTTTGTGACATTAACTCTACAAAGTATACAAATTTCAAATAGTCAGCAATTAAAGTATCTTCTCTCCTTGATGTTTCTGCTAGTTTGGCAATGGTTTTTGGTTTAAGCAATTATTTGCATAAAAAAAAACAAACATTAGGAGGATACAATTGTCATGCATAATTACGGCTCGGAAAAATCCGAAGAAAATCCCATTGGCGGTCCACAAAGAGTTAAGGGTCTTGCCAAGTTTTTTTTTGGTTAAGCTTCATTTATAAAGTTAAGATACATGGAAGAACGTTAGTGGAAGGGAATGACCAAAAAAAAAACTTCAAAATGATGTCATTGGCAAGGGCATTATATTTTTAAGTTTTTTTTTTGTTAAAAGTTAGATACTGCCAATGAAGAAAATAATTTATAAATTTTTCAAGATTTTATATTAGATTTAAAAAAAAAAGAAAAGTATATAAAAACTATAAATTAACTATAAATGCAGGAGAACTAATAAAAGATAGTTTGAAAACTGCCCTATTTAAAATCTTTAGTACAAATTATTAGACGTCTTCAAAAAAATGTCTAAAAATATTTAAAATAAAATCAAAAATACTCTTTAACTAGCTAATTTTTAATAAAAAGATTCCATCTTTTAAACTAAAACCTATTCTAATCCAAAAAATGGCCATAAAAAGTATCTAAATAGCTGCAATATATGTAAAGATACACTACGTAGCCCCCAGAGTTATCTGTACAAGTATGGGTGTAGGAACAGAGCTCTCTAGCACTGCTATTGAAATTGAAGGCGACAACGTTGAGCTTTTCCATTTATATTTCTTTTTTTTCTGTTTATTTTTGTGCCTCGTTTTATTTTGCGTTTTTGCCCCGGCTACAAAGCTACAACTGAGAGCTGTGGAGGTTGCTGTCGAGTCCCCCCCTTTTCTTCTCTCTTACTCCCGGGTCTCTTCTTCTCGTAGTGGGCCCCCCAAAAAAAAACACAACATGTGTTTCGTCATCAAAATTTATTGTTTTTGCATTTTTCTTTAGTTTGCTTTGATTCCTTTCCGCTTGGAGAAATTTTATTTATTAATTATGCTAATATTAGTTACTAAGGATACTTAGTTAGAGTTTTAGATAACATATGGAAAAATATAACGTTTTTTTTTTAAATATCTCATTGAAAAGCTTATTTTGAAAACTACTAATGTCATTTTAAACACTTTTTCAAACATTTCTTTCCAAAATATTATTGAAACTTAAAGAAAATTTTTTTTTTTTAAGAAAATTTATATTTGACTTTATTGATCATTATTTTATGAACTTTCTAGACATTTTTAGGAAAACAAATATTCTTCTATAAATTTTTTAATATTTTAATGACTTTCAATACCATTTCTATTTCTATTCTTAACAAATTCTATAACAGAAATTAAACCCATTCCCCTACAAAATATCTAAAACATCAAATATTTTATCTTTTATTCTTATTACCAATAATGGCTTCCTGAAAACATCACTTTGAATTTCTCAAACCTCGATTGTGTTTTTGTTTTCAACAAGCCGCCGCCATTAAATTTCAGCAAAGCCACAACAAAAACAGTGTTGATTTTGTCCTCGTAGATTTGCTTTTGCCTTTGGGCTCTTTATTTTTTTGTTTTTGTTTTTGTTTTGGTGGTGGGGAGCCCAAGCGAAAATGCCGGCACTTTGGTGAGCATTTGGAGCCTCTCCTGGCCAAGACACCAAGAGTACAAAATCGGCCAATAAAGATGGATCCGTCTATACATCCCGCTCTTATTGGACTGGGCGCAGGCGGTGGAGTGAAGAGACTAGCACTACGGCCCCCCATTTTGACACTTGACACAGTCCAAAGAGCGGTCGTGAAGAGAGCGGCGTGAGAGCAAAGAGAGCCTTGCACTATGGAATAGATCTGATTTGGATTGAAATAAATTATTACTATGAGAAAGAAAGTTATCATTTGATTGATTTAATCCTCTCAAATCTATATCTACTCTGTATTAAATGTTTTTTTTAAGCTTTAAAGATCTATTTTATAGTCTACCATAAAATAAATCTTAAAAGTATGTTTTTAAATGTTATTCTTCCTATTAAATTCACTAAAAACTTTGCTCAGAATTGCCTTAATTATAAATTAAAATTTCATAGCCTATAATAATTAAACAGATATATTTATTTTAAACAAAACTTCACTAGTCAGAATTTATTAGCAAAAATCTTAACATTGCCCATTGTGCGGCGAGCACGTCACACAGCTGGTGGATATCCGTGAGATACTTTTCGGTTCGAGCGTGAGATACTTTTCAGTTCGAGTTTGTATTTCGTTTGGTGAGGTTGCCTGGGCGCGGGAGCAGATACAATATTCCACTGCGAGTGCTCATTCTCGTGCTCTGTTCGCTGTCGACGTGTCTTTCATTCTCGGTTCTCGTCGTCGTCGTGCGTGTCTGTCCCCCCCGATCTTATTTACCTTTTCCGCAAATCCCAACTGCCAACTGCTGAAATCGACTGGAGTTAAGCGTATCTTGCAGATACAAAAGTGCGTAGAACGTAGCAGCAAAGAAAGAAAAGTTGGCGCAGCCCAAAAAAAAAAAAAAAGAAAGAAAGAAAGAAAAGAAGCAAAGCAAAGTGCGCGTGTGTGTGCGTGTGTGAGTGCGTGTTTTGCCCGTTTCCTCTCCCTTTGGGAGATACTCTTCTTGTATCTTTATCTGTTAGATAGCTAGGACAGACTGAAGAAGCTCCAATAAAATAATTGGTAGATTAGGCCTGTTTTTTAAATAATCCAAGAGGTGGGATTTTTGAAACAAAAATTTTCATCTGCGTTTCGTTGCGGAATTTTTTTGTGTGGCGTTCCACTAACCAGCGTTCCTGCTCTCCATCTTCATGCTCCCCAACTCGCGTTCTCGCTCTCTTAAGCGCCCCCCCTACCCCCCAGTTGAAATCGCTCTCCTGTGTCGCTTTGCCGCTTTCGGGTTTCATAATTCAATTGTCGGGTTTTTTTCTTCGGTTCGTACGCTTTTCGGTGCGCTTCGTTTTTTTGTCGCTTTCGATTGCGTATCTTTATTTATATTTTGTTTCGTTGCCATTCCGTTTCGCCCGATCTGAATTTTAATTGCCCACTTTATGGAAAATTCAAAATACACGATAGTCCATCATATGCCTGCTGCCCTTCTTCCATCCCCACAAATACTAATAGTTTCTCTCTTCTCTTCGGCAGTTTGTCTGCTAAAATACTATATGATTTCCCCAAGATCTTCGGTCTAAATACCATATATACATATATTTATTTTGTGCAAAACAAATACAACAAAAATACAAATAAAAACCATAAATAAAATCAAGCTAGCCTTGGCAAAAAAAAAAATCATCATTGAAAATTATATTTAAAAATCGATAAAAAATACAAATATATATTTCTACACACAACGGTTTCACTTTGCAAGTTGTATACAAAATAAAAAAAATACAAAAATTAAATGGAATAGTTACAGTTATTCAAAAAATTGATCAATTATTTGGGCCACAAGTAGAGCCCCCAGATAAATTTAAAAAAAAAGTGCAAATCAGTGTGAAAATAAAATAAAAAATTATAATGCCGTCAAACAAACTAATTAAAAATGGATTAACGCATTTAATAAAATAATTTGAGAAATAATTATCAATGGGATTATACTTGAGATCGTCGAAAGTACATCAATTTTTGAATAAAATTCATTAACTTTAAAGGTAAGATATTGAGAAAAAGAACCGAGTTATCAGACCTATAGAGTCTCGATCGATTAATAATCATGGAGAACTGAGAATGCAAGGCACCATCGACAGAGTCTATTACATAACAAAACGTGAGTCGAGGCCCGCTGCTCGGTTCAGTTAGAATTCTTTTGCTAATACCCGAGCAAACATTGTAAACTGTCTCTCCACTCGATCTCTCGACGGCAAACAAACCCCAAAAAAAAAAAAAAAGAAACCCATAAGATATATCAGAACCCATACCATTTCAAATGGAACTGAGAAAAACCGACACACGACTCGGCAAAGGTTTTTATTTATTTATTTATTTTTCGTATGGCCGTATCTGAGTTCTAACTCTTGCTTGCTCTTCGTGCGCTACGTATCTCACAGATACATTGCTGCCATGGATGTATCTCGGGTGCTAGTATGCGTGTTTCTTTTTTTTTTTTATCAGCTTTTGAGTTTTGCATATGATATTGAAATATTTATTTTGAGAACATTTTATTTATACCTTCAATGAAAATTCTCAGCTATTTTTGAAGCGTTCTCTTAGGTAGCTAGAGAAGAGTGATAGCGAGAACTCTTCGAAGATTTTGCGACTTATTTTGGATTGATTTAATTAGTTTATTGTTGCTAGACTGTGAGTGTTTTATTTTGTGTTCAGCTATTAAGTGGCCGTCAGCAATTTGGCTTTTTTTTTGTGGGACAGGTTAAACCAGTTTTCCAGTTCGGCAGTTCTACAAAAATTACAAAAAAAAAAACACCTCAAACTTGCCACATTATTTCATAGTTTTTGTTTCGGTCTTATATTCCTCGAGAGCTAATCGCCCTCAGCTCATAATTTAATAGAAAAAAAAAACATAAATACGAGGAAGAAACTAACAAAATGTTGGGCTTAGGCTTATCGCCAGTGCCCCCCCACCCGGCACCGCCCATCCGAACGCACCAGCACACCAACACACACACGTCGCCAGCAAAGCGACGATTAGATAATGGCATTTTAAACGTCTCTACTGTACAGTAGAGTCGCGAAACACACACGAAAAGTGACCAAGCGGCATGGAAATGGACTTTGTTTTGAAAACTGAAAAAGGCTGATAAGACAATCCAGAGAGTCGGGCAAACAGGGAGATTCTACAGAGAAAGAAGAGAATGTGTGGGGTCTAGACTCTAGACTCTGTGTAGTTGAGGAGAAGACTATCCATTTAATGAGTTATTATTTGGGGAGAGTATCTTTAACTAGTATCTAAAAGCTATAAGCCAGTATTGTCTATAAAAAGGATAGTTCTGTTGGAGATCGATGGACTTAAATAGATTCTAGAGAGAGATTTTAAAATATAGAGAACAATTTAAGGAGAAAAACATCTAGACTCTATAGAAAAGAAATATCATAAGAGTGTTTTCATCATAGTATCTACAATAAAAGATGTACAATAACTTAACGCCTGTATTGTCTCTTAAAAGGCTCATACTTATGGATGTCGGTGTTACTTGATACTAGAGAGTATCTAATTTCTAAACTTTAGAAAAAATATTTGAGGAGAAGACCATCTAGAGTCTAGGATCTATATTATAATATAGTATCTCGATCGTCTCCTAAAAAGTCAGTACTTATGGATATCGTTGGGAAAGGTGCTGGAGAGTGTCTTCTAGGGAAAAGATCTATTAAAATAGTTACTTTAGTATAGTTTCTATAAAATACAGCAAAAAGATACAATCATAAACCAAAATTTTCTGTATAAGGACTAGTTCTTATGGATATCTGGGAGACCCTGGATGTAGTACCTAGAGTACTTGTAGTATCTAGAGAACAGTTTTGAGAAGAGCCTATTAAATTGGTTCCTTAGTTATAGTATCTATGAAATTTAAATAAAGTATCTCTATAACCACATCATATTCTGTAAAAAACATAGTCTTTTATAGAATTTTGTGACATTTTTGGCCTTAAGAGGTAGAAAGCGTCTTCGAATCTAACCTCTAGAGAAAATATCTATTGTATTAGTAACTTAAGTATCTTTTAAATTCAAATAAAATACAACTACAAGCCAAAATGTTCTATAAAAACTATACCACAACAATTGCCATTGCCTATAAAACGCCTAGTTTCTGAGGATATACACTATCCCTCGGCTCTGACCCTAGCGTCAACGTCCTGAGAACCTTGAGCCCCTCCTTGAGGTCTCCACTGCTCCAGTCTTCCAAAGTCTGAATTCTTTTGGGACAAAAAAAAGTCGAGGGCACGTTTTCGGACTTACGTTTGTAATATTCTCGCGCTCTGAAGTGGCTCTGAAGCGTAAATGAATTTGTCCCTTTGAAGTTTTCCATGTTAATTGGGAAATTAAGCTTGACCAGCTAGCTCGACTCGACTCGACGACTCGTCAGTTCGCCAGAAATTGTCAATGTATTTCTTGAATTTTTACTTGAACTTGCTGCTCCTGCACATGATTCTTGATGGTCGGGACTACGTTTATAATTACGTTAACTTCAATTACTGCTTACGTACAATATCTCAGAGCCATTGCTGTGGCTTTCCAGGTAAAACTGGTTTCCCAATGCCTCATTTTATAAATATATATATATACATATATCTTCTGGTTGGGTACTTGGACATGTGTGTCTGTACCGAGTCTGCTGCATGAGTTTTGCTATAATTTTAATTTCTTTTTGAAGTTCGGCGCGAATTGTGAGCTGAAGGTTGCCAGCATCTTGAGATACTTAACAATTTAACTAGTTACAGGTCTTATGAGATATGCTAGGAATTTCTTTTAATTTAAAAAGAATTTCAAATAGTATTCTATCTGGAATGAAAAAATATCTCAATATTTGCATCTCTATTTCCTCTATCCAAGTTTTCTGTTTTGTTTTGGACATTCGTTTTTTGTGTTTTATTTTGATTTGTTTTTTGGTTTTTTTTTTTTTCGGGGAAACTGCTCCTCTTTGGGGCGTTTGCCGCATTTGAATTTCATTTTTAGATTCCAATTTATTTTCGGCGTAGTTTATGCCAATTTGGTTTTTGGGTGCGATTTCTTTAATATTATGTATGCCATATATTGTTGCCCCCGTGGTCGGACTGAGTCTCTCTGTATGAGTGTGAGTGAGTGTGTGTGTTTCTTCAAATGAATTTGATTTGATACTCATTTTTTGTGTGCACCTCTGACTGAGTTGTATAATAGCTAACAATCCACACATTGCAAGAGCTTTGCTTTGCTTTTTTTGAGCCGTACTGTACTTGACCGAAAGAAGCGTGTGATTATGGTGGCTTTCGGTCTATCTGGGTCTGTCATGTGTCTTGTTTAGTCATTCAAAAATTACCCAGTGTTGCTGGGGTTCCTTTTTAAAAGCATATTAACTAATTGACGTCTGTGTTTATCTATAAGCAACCGCTCGGCTCGACCCACAAATATTTGACGGACTGACATTTTTTAGACACGCCGCGAAGAAAGCAAAGAAATCACAAGAGATCTGATGGGAGGGGGGATATCCGCAACAAATGTTTCAACTCATGGATGTCTGCACTCAATCGCTATAATTATCTTAATTAAAAATCTAAAGTCTAAAGTCAAAGTTAACTCTGGGTCTAAGCTTGAATCTGAATTTCTGGCGAATTAATCTCGGCTCGAAAGTGAAACTCTCTGAAGGGGTATAGTATACTGGCGGCCCCTTTAACCCGCCCTATACACACACATTACTTGCTCTGTCGAAATTTTAAATATACGAAATAAATAATTTTCAGCTGGCTTTTTTTTTATATTTTTTGGCCGAAATAATGTTGATGTCATAGGTTCGTTGGACGTTGGTAGGCATTCAGTCCGAAACTGTTGTGTGTTCGAGAGTGTGTGAGCTAATGCAGGCATCCAAAAAAAAAACAACTGAGGAATGCCCATTATATATGCCAAATATTTGCTTTGTCAAAGTATTTTCTGGTTTGTTTTATGAGTATTAGTTGATTTCCAAGTGATTGAATGGCCTGGGCCGGGAACAATACCCAGCAATAGTGGCTATAAACTATAGTTTTGACTGATTGGGAAGGGAGACATGAGTCACTTCCGAAAAACTTGTTCCCTGTAAGCGAAGATAACTAACTGCGTAATACACTTTGGCTTTAATAGAGATTACGATTTTGAAGTGCAGTTGATGAAACTAAACCTACAAGACTTCTAGAAGACTTATTTAAAAAATATAATGAAATACCTAAGTTTCCTGTATCTTTGAGGTTCCGGTTTAAACTGCATTGATATCTCATAGATAAGCAATCGACAAAATATATGTACATATTGATTTTCTCACCAGTTTGGGTTACCTGTTGCTTAACCCTCTTCCTCTAACCATTTTTTGGGTTGTTTAGTTAAAGGCTTTTTTAAACCAAAACCAACAACAACTACAACTACAACAAGATGCCATAAAACAAGAAAACAAGAATGACCAGCGCGTACGTCAGAGCGACCACCTTTCCAAGATACACTCGCCAAAGCAAACTCACAGATACTTTTGAAGAATTTGAGAATCTAGAATAATTATTATGTGCGGTTAACCCATACCATAAGACTTGGAAGACTCCAAACCCCAAGAGAGTGAGAGAGAGAGAGAGTGGGGAGCTTGAAGACTTTACCTAACGCTGCGGGTCTCGATTCTCCTCCAAAACTTGTGTGTGAAATGTAGGGGAAATATAAGCGAGCATGTGTGCCAGCTGCTGCTCCGAGTGTGTGTGTGTTTATAAAGTTGATTGCACTCGATTTTTAGATAAAGCTTTTTCAAGGTCATCAACGAAAAAACGACGAAACGTACCAAAAACCAGCACCAACCAAGAAAAAAACGCGCGCGATTCTTCTAACCGAATCCCCTCGAGCGTCCTGAGCTCCGAAATTTGAGCTACAAGAGGCCATCTCTTTCACCAGCTTCATGTCCTGTCTCTTTCGATGAAAGCGAATGGCAATTCTAATTGAAAACTATGGAGGAGAATAAATCAAAACAAGATTTATGTCTGCGTCTGGCGT